AACTGACTAAAAAGGAAAGGAGGTCATTCTTTGTGAAACGGAGGGAGTATATGTTTTGCCATTGGGACCATCAAATCTTATGAGCCCATATAAGATGCATCTTAACTTTACCTGTGGATAATATCTGAAGGTTAAGTCATTAATAATTTAGACACATTAAAATGCTTTAGGTGGTTAATTACTACCACTCTAGATGAAGAAATATTGAAATCAAGTAAAATAGTTAGTATAAATGTTGTGAATATATATACAGTTACTTTGAGCTCTTCTCTAGCACAAAGATAGTATATCCTCATTCTCAAGTAGTACAGTAGCACTTTATAGTAATTATTATATTAGTAATTTTGTTGAATGACTATTTCATAGTATATCTCCACTAATCATTTTAGTCAGTTTCAAAAAGAAAGTTTTTTTTTCTAATTTTTAACTCTTTACTTTCAATATCTTATATGACATGTTTAAGATCATAAAATTAAATGACATTTGGTACATCACTTATCTCCAGAGTTTAAAACTACAAGTTTTTTATTTTCTAAAAATTGGTACCAAATTAAACTAATACAAGCAAATTGAAACCTATCGAGTAGGTCCAGTGCAATTTAACGAACAAATGCAGAAATTAACTGATTCTGTTTATTAAGGATAGACCAAAGTAGATATACCAAACAATTGCATCTGCCATGAGTAATTCTGCATCCATTTCCAATAGTTGAAGCGTAGATTGAGAAGATAAAAGGATTGAGAGGGGAAATCTTAGAGGAATGAACAGAGCTAGAGAAACAGAGGAGAGCATTTTCAGAGAATTAGAAGAAGGGGGAATAGAGCCCAGGTGAGGAGATAATTGATTTCCAAATATATTTTGAATTTTTTTGGCTTTTCTACCTTTTATTCGATGTTGAGTATCAACATAATGGCCAATTTTTTCAGATTCGAGCTTTCAAGCTCAAACTCGACTACAACATTAGCAAGTATATATTTTGGGCCCATAACAAACAAGAATACATACAAGAAAAGTTATCACATTGACACTGACACTTGATAATAATTATTTAGAAAAATTCACAAAAGAAACTTACCCCAAATTTACCAGAGTCAGTACAATGTCAGACCATCGAATTGACAGACCAGTCTCCGACTTTCCTACAAAATCCTGACCATAAAAATTGACATAAGCAACAATTAAACCTCATTAATGTATCCAATTTTTTTAGTTTTGTTTTTTCATCCCATTTATGATACCAGCTTGAGACCCAATTAATTAATTACATATACTTGAATTAATTGAGAAATGCTCTAAAGAACAATACACATATATGTCTAACAATAAAAAATTAAATTTTAGAAAATCTACGAATACATTGA